ATAATAAATGCTTCCCAAATCTTATTCTGATATACAAAGTAACATATTATATAATATCATGGAATTTGAAATGATATGTGATAACTGTTGCATAAATAGTTGTTGATGTCGTCAGGCACGGAAGAATAATATAAAATTTTGAAGAAATTTAACGGAATTTTGCTTGTTTTTTGGCAATAATTACAATATAAATTTATCAAATGACATTAAAATATTCAAAACTCCCCACATCAATTAATACCGAAACCTTATTTAATCGATTTAATATAAAAATTATTAATATTATAATATCACTTTGTTCACTTACCAATTTGAAACCTGCGAACGTCTGCGTTTTCTGAACAACGAGAACGATGAGAAGCAATCGGCTTATATTACGTACACAAATAATATTCGACTTTGATTTGTCTATTCGCATGTATCTTATTGTTGGCTTCTGGTATTTGGCCACTATCGATGTTATTGTTATAATTTTTGCAGTTACACAATAGAAAAACAGTTCAAAGTGAATTCGAACTTTTACTAAAAATTCTTCAGAAATTGTTTCTGCATTTTTAATTTTTAAGAATAACGTTACATTTGGTAAATTATATACTTCAATCAGTTGGTTGTTGGTAAAACTGTGCATCAGTTGCTTCGTAGAATACAGCAGAGATGTTGCCACTTTGATGTTGAAGCGATGCTGCATTGCCTGCGTTTTTCGGTTTTATTTGATATTCCTACTCTGATTCATATATTTTTTAAATTTTAATCATTTCTATCACTATAAGGATTAATATAAAAAATAGATTTTTACAATTTTTATATATAATCGTCGGTTAACGCTAACTGACGTTAGAAAAAGTGGCCCTACGGGAATTAAGCTAAGTATTTTTTTTTGTTAGAACGGTGCAATTGAATCGTGTAATCAAGTAAAACATAATTTTGTTGTGCATATTTCAATTCAAGTTATAGTAAAGGAGTGCACAGAGTCAATGATATCGATGTATTGAAGTCGAATCAAAGCGATGATACGCGCGTCAAGTTCAGACTGTTTCTTCTTTACGCTGCGTCGGTTAGGAAAGCAGAATGCGAACACTTTGTAATAATTGTATATTTTATATGCATTAAAAATTGAATAATAAGTGTGAATTTTTTTCAGGAGTGCCGATTAAAGTGACAGGCAGTTGGCGGAATGTATTATATAACGGGAGTGTTCACAATTAATGGCGTTTTATCGATCGTTATATTAAAAATTTAAATAGGTTATAATAATTCTGGTTACACAGAAAGCTTACAAAGTAGTTTAGATCCAGCATAGACGCGCGGCGGACAATTTACGAAATCAATTACGCAATTTTTTAATTTTTTTATTGCCGTTGCTTGTTTCGGAGTGTCGATCGAATTGTAGACTGTACTTTTACAAGTCTTATTTTCGCCGTCATGTAAGAAAGTCGGGTAAAAAACGCACGGGAGTGTCGTACAAAATATCGCGCGATCGTTTTTTTTTCGAGTGAGTGCTATGCAAGAGCAACCACTGAGAGGAGGAGGAGGTCCTGGGGGCATCGGGGATCGGCGGAACAACTATAAGGTGAGCGATAAATTTATCATTAATTTACTATTCATAATTTGTAAAAAATATTAATTACTTGTTCTCGAGATTATTATAGACAAATATTGTTATTGTATTTACAATTATTTCAAATTTTTAATCAAAAGTTATGTAATAGTTTTATCAAATATTTGCTTAATAGACAAGTAAAAGATTAATACATGAAATAAAATGATTTTTGAAATATTTACTATTTTGAATGCGGTTATATGTACATATTTTTGTATTTTGCAGATCACTGTTGAACTACAACTTCGCTGCTGCACATCGTGTGTCGGTGAGTCTAGATCAAATTATCTTTCTTTTATTCTAAGATAAAGAGTCTGTAAAAATGATATAAAATGATATGCTTAAGTTGATAGTTAAATTGCCCGTTAAATTTTCTCAGTTATAGTTTAGTTAAAATTGCGAAAAGGAGTGAGGTAGTTTAGGCCGCAATAAAATTTTACAAGAAACTGAAGCGAATTGAATATCTATAGTTTCTACCAATGCTACATTTTCAACTTCCCCTTTTTTATGCGACGATTTTCATTATTCATATTCCGAGTACGTTTATCGCATAGCAATATGTTCATGCAATACGCGCCTAAACATCGACTTGCTCTTACTCTTACGCTTTGTTACATAATAATACTTCATAATAATTATACACTGTGACATTATATATTAAAAAGTAAAACCAGAAAAAAGAAGAATATAATCTTCAAATGTATTAAATTATCAAACTGTATATAAAATACAAATATCTATAACATGATACTTCAATCAAAAGATATTTAATTCATGAAGACGTGAATTTGCCATATTGAGCTATGAACATACAAATATAAATTTTTTCGTCCCTGATAAAACTGCCGAGATTTTTGGGGGTGGTGCTGTATTTGGCAGTTTTATCTTAATTTTTTATTAACATTTTTTTATTAAAGAAAGGATATAGTGTTAACAAATATAATTTTACACGATGAAATTTTCACAAGATAAAATTTATTTATATTAGAAGTATTTACGTATACTTACATAATAAAAATATTTATTACAAAATCTCTTTTTCTATTTATATAAATGTTATTTGCACTTTTAATCGTTATGTATGCATTAATCTTGTTTTAGTTATAAGTTCTAATTATAAGATTTTTTGTTTCAAATTTTTAAAAGTTATGGCTATACATATGTATTTACAGTCATATAAAACATGACCAATAAACAAAAAAAAAACCATAATACTAAATAAAGAAAGTCGTCACATTTATATTCTTAATTTAGTCTTAACATTGTTAACATTTTAATTTAGTGTTAACGTTGTTTTTAATGAAGTTAATTTTTAAATTGATTGAAATTAAGTTATCAGGAAGCTACTCAAGATCTTCTATACAGTACTATAAGAAATTTCTTTTCTACATTTAATATCATCAATTACTAGGTTAAATATTTGGAAATTCAGCAATAAGAAAATAATCCCAAAATTAATATTTTGTCACTTTGTGTCTGTTTCATATTAGAAAAGCTTAAAATAATAAAAATTTTGATATTATATTTCTCGGAGCCTATAAAAGTAATGGTCATTTTGGTAAAAATTGTCATACCGACCTAGTAATCTGATATTTAATACCAATAATAGAAAAATATAAAAATTTAATTTTTGTATTTAATTAGCAACGTTGAGTAATCGATGTTAGATAGATTCTTGCAGTTTTTCTTATCTTTCTTCTTATATTGCAAAATTGTCAAAATATATTTTGTCTTACAAATAATTTTCGACAAATTATATTGCAACAAAAGCATTGTTTAGATCGAATTTAACATACGAATTTAGAAAAATGAATATAGCGTTCCATGCAATTTAGGAGTGTCACAACCAAATCAAATGATTCATTTTAAAACTAATAAAAAGCCAGCAAATTATTCAGTATTATTTTCGTTATTGTCGACATTCTCATTCCGCTTCTGTAAAAGTAAATTAATTGTAACTTTTTAAAATAATATTTTTTTGGATAAATAATGATATAATAAATTTTATGTGCATATACTACTATACTATTTGATCAAAATAAATTTAAATAAATATGATCAATTTGTTCTATACAAAATACAACATAAGTCAATAATCAATTAACATTATCTTGAATATCTTGGTCACTATAAAAATTAAAAAAAATTTTTTGAGAAATGTTGTATGACCGATTAAAACTTATATAATGCAATCGATTTTTATATCAATATAATTATTTCCAATATTCAAGGCTCAACTTTTTTTAAATACATATTATACGTTTACAATTATTATCTAAAAACAACTTTTGAAACAATTATAATGATATATTTGTGTCTAGTTTGATAAATTTCTAGCTCTCAATGAACTTTGTTGGCATTTTCTATAAAGAAGTATCATATTCAAGTTAGTATTCTCCAAAACATTGCAAATGATCGACTCATTAATACTAATTTTAACATGTTTTTGTCTCATAAACTAATTCAATTATTTTATGTATAAGTTTGTAAAATGTTGAGAAGATGTTAATTGTTATTGGATTGTTCTATGTTTTCAAGTGAATATTCCACTGTATATTTTACTTACTATTAGTCCTATATATATCGTAAATTTAATTGTTTTCATTATTAATTTCGTTTTCATTATTAATTTCGTTTTCATTATTAATTTCACCTTCATTATTAATTTCGTCTTCATTGTTCATTTTGTCTTCATTATTATTTTCATCTTTGTTATTAATTTCGTCTTCAATATTACGCCGATTTAATAGGATGATATTAGGATCAGTAACTCTCAACTCCTGATTAGTGTTGCGCTTTCGAATCCTACGTTTAAAATTATTACTAATTATTCTCATTTTAATCAAACGTAAAAAATTGTTTATATATATCTATATATATGCATGATTTGTTAACCTCGAAAAAAGTTTTTGAATAGGTAGTACAAAAAAATGCTACCCAGACAACACAAGTTTTAGAAACATTTGAAAGATTTGCGTGTTGTCTGGGTATTTATTAGCTTTATCATCAAGAGATGATAAAAGGAAATTGACATTTATAATTTAATATTAATTCATTCATTTCAAGTAGATACGTTAATATCTCAGACAACACGCATATCTTAAAGTATCTGAAAAACGTCTGAAAAATGTTATTTTTATACATTTTTCAGATGTTTTTAAGATATAATGTGTGTTGTCTGCAATAGTTTTCTATGCGAATCTTTTTTTAAGACATAATGTATTTCGTCTGCGATCTTTTTTTTATCTATTATGATAACGAAAAGACGTCAGATGACGATTATTTGCTACTTGGGTTGTTCTTATAGCAATATAATAATCATTATTTAATTTTGTAATTTAATAAAATTAATTAACAGCAAAGTTACGGAAAAAAAGTTAATATTACTTTTTTAAAATAAAGATTAAATTCAAGACCAAATAATTTAAAACCAAATGTTAATAAGAAGCAAACAGCCAGTGCTAAGTGGTTGTGTCTGATTATTAAACAAACATATAATAACAACGTTTCGACCTATATCAGGTTTTCTTCAAAGTTAAAATCGAATATTCGTCATACATTATAATATTTAAGAAAATATTATAATATTTAATTTTCTGCAAACATTGGGCGTTGTATTGAAGCCCGAAGATAAGGACAAGGATGGAGAAGCTTTCCTGAAGGTTGTCACGAGAACGTGGTTACTCGCTGGAGAGGCTTTGCTTCAGATGATTGCCATACACTTGCCGTCTCTCGTAACTGCTCAAAAATACCGTATGGAAATGTTGTACAAGAGACCGCTCGATGATGAAGCTGCCATTGGAATTAAGAACTGCGACCCGAATGGACTACTTATGATGTACGTTTCGAAAATGGTACATCGGACAAAGGACGCTTTTACGCTTTCAGCCGAGTATTTTCGGGTAAGGCGTGCACTGGCATGAAAGCTCGCATCATGGAACCCAACTTCCAGCCGGGCAAAAAAGAAGATCTGTACGAGAAGGTAATCCAACGTACTATTCTCATGATGGGTCGTTACGTCGAAGCTATCGAAGATGTACCTTCTGATAATGATTGTTGTGATTTTATGATCTTTGTGATTTTGTCGGCGTCGATCAGTTCTTGGTGAAGACCGGTACAATCACGACGTTTAAGGATGCGCATAATATGAAGGTTATGAAGTACTCTGTGTCGCCCGTCGTGCGTGTCGCGGTTGAACCGAAAAATCCTGCTGATTTGCCAAAATTGGTCGAAGGATTCAAACGTCTGGCAAAGTCAGATTTTATGGTGCAGTGCATCATCGAGGAATCTGGCGAGCACATTATCGCCGGTGCTGGAGAGTTGCACCTTGAGATTTGCTGAAAGGATTTGGAAGAGGATCGTCTGTTCATAATGTTTTTTTAAATATTATAATGTATGACAAATATTCGATTTTAACTTTGAAGAAGACTTGATATAGATCGAAACGCTGTTATTATGTTTGTTTAATACACAGACACGACCACCTACTACTGGCTGTTTGCTTCTTATTAACTTTTGCTTTTAATATTACTTTGCTAAAATTATTAGCTTTTTCTTCCGATAAAGTTTCAAATTATTTATTGAATTTGTTGCTTATACGATTACTACGGAAATAAATTATTCTTGTGAAATTATATGTATTTAAATATTAAGAAAAATCTACTTACCAACACAAAAATGCAACAATGAGTGCAACTATGTTAAAAGATACAACTATTGCACCAAATGTGACAATATTTTTAATAACACGTTGTATAGTCTCTCCTTTTTCTGGTGTTTCTGGTGTTTCTGGTGTTTCAAGACTCGATGTAGTGTTTTGAATATTTTCAATATATGTTTTATTTTCTTTACTGTTTAATGCATGTTTCATTACAACAACTGGAAAAGTAAATTTAATTGATAATCAGTTACATCTATTACTAATAGATTAAGTTTGTCAATAATACAAATTTCTTCTAATATAATGTTAGAAGTGATAAAATTTTACTATTATGCAAAATTTATTTTGCTCGATATAAAAGATTATATTATTATTTTTACAATATAAGCTACTGCTGAATAGTTAAAATATACTTTTACTAAATTTTTTAAAATTAATTTATAAATGTTTAAAGTCAGTATTAGTGAATCAATTCAGAAAGAAAAATACATAATTAACAATTTGATATTCTGAATGAAAACGTATAAAATAATTCAACAAACATGCAGATATTATGTTTCACATTCAAAATACATGAAGAAAATAGTTAACGGATAATTTTTTATATATAATATAAACACACACACACAACACACAGTCATGTCATTACCAGAAATTAATAACCAAAAGATGGAAATCATTAATAATTGTTTCGTAATATGCATTGTGAGATCTTATAAGGCTTTTTTCTCCTAAAAATAAAAAAATTACAATTATTACAATTATTTTTATTTATTTGAAGATTATTATTATCAGAATTTTTTTTTGATTGTTTAAAATCAATAATATAGATATTTCATATTTATGCAGCATATTTTAAATTTAGAAATAATAAAAGTAATTGATTTTTTATTTCGTTGCAACTAAGAAAACGATGTAACACCAAGTACCGTGCAAAGAAACAAAGTATTTATAATATATATATTAGTTGACAAAATCGTGTAATCGTTAATAGACGTTAAATGTTTCAATTAGCAATTTTTATCTTACTTTTCATGTCAAATTCCACGCATTAAAATTAATTTTTAATAAGAAGATAAATGTAGGACAGTTTTATATATATTCTCTACACTTATTATTCATAATTAATATTATGCAAAACACAGAACAGCGCAGCTACTCTTTAACAAAAAATAATCCATAGTTCGATCACTGATCTTGTTAATAATAAATGCTTCTCAAATCTTATTCTGATATACAAAGTAACATATCATATAATATCACTGAATTTGAAATAATATGTGATAACTGCCGCATAAATAGTTAATGTCGTCAGTTGTTGATGTCGTCAGGCACGGAAAAAAAAATAAAATTTTGGAGAAATTTAACGGAATTTTGCTTATTTTTTGGCAATAATTACAGTATAAATTTATCAAATAACATTAAAATATTCAAAACTCTCCACATCAATTAATACCAAAATCTTATTTAATCGATTTAGTACAAAAATTATTAATATTACAATATCACTTTGTCCACTTACCAACTCGAAACTTGCTAACGTCTACGTTTTCTGAACGACACTGTGAGAATGAGAAGCAATCGGTTTATGTTACGTACACAAATAATATTCGACTTTGATTTGTCTATTCGCATGTATCTTGCCTCTGGTATTCGGCCACTATCGATGTTATCGTTACAATTTTTGCATTTATACAATAGAAAAATTATCGAGAATGAATTTGGATTTTTACTTGAAATCCTTCAGAAATTGTTTCTGCATTTTTTATTTTAGAGAACAACATTACATTTGGTAAATTATATGCTTCAATCAGTTGGCTGTTGGTAAAACTGTGCATCGGTTACTTCGTCGAATACAACAGAGATGTTGCCACTTTGGTGTTGAAGCGATGCTGCATTGCCTGCGTTTTGCGATTTTATTTGATATTCCTCTAATTCATATATTTTTTAAATTTTAATCCTTTCTGTCGCTATAAGGTTTATCATATAAAAAATAATATACATTTATAAAATAATATATTTTATATATAAATTGTATAAATCCGTTTTTTATTAAAAATGCGTGTTTTGTTAAAATATATTATTTTATATAATATAATATTTTAATTAAATTTTTTCTCTCGAGAGAAAAATAGTCGAAAATAATCAATTTCAAAATCAATTATTATTACTATTTTCTGTATGACTGCATCTCTTGTAATTTCAAGACATTACAGAAAGCTCATGGAGCTTTTATGCGAATAATGTAAGTAAAATGAGAACATATTTTCGAAGGGAAGGCAGAAAATGACAATTGGGTTTTCCGGAATTGTAACGCGGAGAATGCAGTCTTTAAAATTGCGTGAAGGTCCGTAATGTGCCCGGCAGGGCGTCCATTGGCGATGGCGCGAACAAGGGAAAGATAAGAGTCCCACAAATATTATAGAGGGTAAGCGCTTGCGTAAAATTAAATAATGAAGCTTATTTCGGTCAATAAGAGCGACGGAGAACACGGTTTACAGTCATCGGCTCGTGAATACTGAATAGTCAGCATTAACTCGCGTTTCCTTCATCGATGTTAAAATACCGCGTGAAATATAAGATCGTTGATATGCCGTGTCGTTTCTTTCAGTCTTCGGAAAAATGAAAAGTGCGAAAACACGCACGCATATCGCATATCGCGCAAAAAATCCACACGAGAATCTAATATTAACGCCCAGCATGCGATACGGCTCGATTTCGCGGATGCGCTCGCTATTGCATCAACGAGGTTGCCGGCGTGAAATGAAATTTGTCTCGATGTCGATGGAGTTTCGATAACTCGATAAAAATCCAACGAGCGGAAAAGCAATCGTTTCGTTGCGCGAAACGTTCTCTCTCTTTCTCTCTCTCTCTCTCTCTCTCTCTCTCTCCCTCCCTCTTCTTTTTCTTCCCTTCTTTTTCTCTGTTTCTCCCTCGCCGCCGAGATTTCCCCTCCTAATCTTGACTGCGAGGGTCAAAGGTTAGTCGGTCGGACATAGGCTGCGAGGTGGCGAATCGAGGTGGAGGAACGAGTCGAAACGAGCGTTCAGAGAGTGGAATCGTATGAGAGAGTGGGGATATCGCCGAGTTTCTGGGCATCATCCCCCTTTGATCCGTTTTATTGCGATTGTTCTCCCGGATTAAGTCGGAATAAGAAAGAAATTGTGAATTGTAGTTCTGCATACACAGTGGCGAAAGAAATTTTACGATTTTTTAATTGCTTTAAAAGATTGCCGAATACGAAGTATATTTATGAAAGAAATTAATTTTCTCCGAATCTATAACGATATATTTTCTCTATTATCTTCTGTGAGAATCCGATAATACGGAATGTCGCAGAATCTCTTGCTTAGCTATCGATAATTTTCTAGCATTTTCAGCATAAAATATTCTAAATCTCTTGAAAACTTGTTTCAATCTTCTTATATGAATAAAATCTTAAATTGTTTATTAAAACTCTACTTATAGAGTTGTAAAATGTGCAAGACTTTTTCAAGGAAAATTTTATTTGTAAGAATCGCTTCACATTGCTTCATCTCGATAAGCAATTCTGACCATTTACATAAAATGCCATACAATTGTAGATTATGTAAGATGGAAATAATTTTCATTTGCATTATAATTTCTCTCACAATTTTTATATGCACATAATTCCACGAAAAAATATTCAAGCACTGTTTTCGAAACATATGTCATGTTTTTTTTTCTGTTAAGATTTTATCTCACGTTGTGAGATTGGTACATTCGAATATTATCTAGATAGACTTTCGAGAATTCAGATTTTGCCCGCCCAAACGCTATTGTGCGGCGGAAACGAAGACAGTCCGCGTTGATTAAAACGGGGGTACGAACGGGATCGCGCGCACGTGGCCGTGTCTCGCGATAAATTTGTCGCGGAATTCATAAAGTATCGTTACGTCGTTTCCGTCGAGCGGCCGGCGGACGCGAATTGCACTCTCGTGCGCGGCGAGAACGGTTTATGTTTTTTAGAAAAGATGTATTCTTTCGGGACGCACACACATGTACACGTAAAAAAAAACAAAAAAAACGAAGCGTCGCTCGGACACTGGATAGATTACGCGACGCGCGAGGCTTAGAGCGCAGAAACGATTAATCATCGACGATGAAGTCTGTATTACGTAGGACGGCTCACATCGTCGTCCCCGATGTCGCACTGCTTATGCTGGATAATAGAGGATTTGCAGCTTCTCTAACATATGCTCTGAATTTTTTACGTTTGCAAAGTAAAAGTAAGCAATGTGCTCGGATGATAATAATAATAATATAAAAATACACTTGTTAGTAATTGATATATGAATCTAATAATAAATTAACCGTATATTACATATATGCGATAATAAATCTCTGCATAATTAACTTTTTACAAACGTAATTAAAAATATATGCTGCACGACCACTAGTGAATTAAACTGAATAGGAGTTTCTGTTAGTTGTAAAATATGGAATAAGAATATGTATTTTGTCAACAAAGATTCGATTGTGTTAAGAATCATCTGACATTTTCAGTATTTTATCTTGTACTTTTATATTGTTTGTCTTATTTATCGAAGAATATTTAATTATATAATATTACGGCATCACACATAGATACATTTTTCGAATACATAAGAGTTGTTTGTACATCGCAATTTTCAAAGTGACAAACTCGCCCCGTTAG